CGAAAACAAGGTCAAACAACTTCTATTCAACGAAAGGAGAATGCGACCACACAAAAGGCCACACCATCTTGGTCTTTATACCTTCGATCAAACATACGTTTGCCTCATCGACAATCCCCCAAAATAATGCGATATGGGAAAAGGCCAAGTCTTCATTGAAATTCACACCTGCCCTGTGACCAAACGGCACTCGTGGCAATGTGGGTGAATACATCTCACACAACTTTAGTATCCCAAACAAGCTTAGACAACACGAGCAAATAGTATCGAGGGCAGACAGAACAGGAGCAGTTGTAGTTATGGCTAGGACAGATTAAATAGAAAAGATGATGCTGGCTTCAACTGATGTTGATATGAATATAATTATAACTAAGGCCCCTACTGTCGAGACTTAAGAGTTGCCTGCAATAACGCATTAATAGTGGAGAATTGGAGGAGTGGAAGATGAATGCACGTCTCCAACGTGAAGCTAGGCCTTATGCCCAAAGCCCACAAAGTGGGGATCCCACTTAGGGACAATGTAAATAATAAGGGTAGTGTGATTCATAAAACATCACGGTTCCTTTGTGGTCAATTAAAACAAATATCAGGTTTTTGGAGATTTTCAATAAAGAATTCTTATAACTTCATAAAGTTAATAGATGAACAAGAAAATGTGCTAGTAAGTTTTAATGTACATGAATATACCGGTAAGTGAGGCCATACAGGCATTAGGATTAACCTTAGATCAACACCCAGAGATAATATCAGGAAATGAGGTAAGTAAGGAGTTAATCCTAAAATTGACGAACTTAATAATGAATGGTATATATTTTATCTTTAATGGTAAATTGTACGAGCAAAGCGGAGGTTTAGCTATGGGATCGTGTTTGTCTCCAGTTTTAGCTAATAACTACTTGGCTCAATTGGAAGTCCGGCTTTTTCAAGAGTCACTCCTAGTTCCAAAACTATTGGTCAGATAATTGGACGATTATTGTGCTATCTGACAGCATGGCAGAGTGTTTGGATGTCTTCCTTGGTTTAGTGAATAGAGTAGATAGGGCAACAAGATTCACTATGGAGTTAGAAAAGGACAATAAATTACCACTTTAAGATGTCCTAGTTGGTAAAGAAAGGAACAAACCGGGTAGAGATTTATATAGGAAACCCACAAATGCTGGTTTCCATCTTGATTTCTTGTCGAACCATATTTATGGTGCAATTAAATCAATGATAGTAGAGAGTTTAAGCCTACCGGACGTAAATCATCACAAACAGAAATTAGAAAGACTAAGAAAAATCTTTGTTAAAACAATTATCCGGTAGGATTAAGTGTTTATAATTTCAAAATATTGAGAAATATGGTGAAGGAAAATCAGTATTTGGGGACAAGGAATTAAAAAACTCTTTGTCCAAGTTCCTAATGCTACCATCCTGCAAGCTTTCAAGAAAGATAGGCGAATTACTGAGGAAATGGAGCGTCAAGGCAATGTATAATGAAACAATAAAGCTTTCTTTGATCATGCCCTCTGCACATCAGGTTGTTATACGGTTTTGTGTTCATGTGGTAGTGTTTATGTGGGACAGACCTGTCGACCCATACATAAGAAGTTATCAGAACACAGAACTGCTTGTAAATGTTTATTGATTCGGAAAACGGAGGTGTCTGAACATGCAATCGCTACAGGACACCAAATAGAGTGATCTAAATCCCAACGTTTTGCCGGATATCGGGAATTCAGGGCTAAACGGTAGATCAGAGAGTCAATTAAAATTAATAAAACAAAAAACATTCTGAATAAGAGGAACGAATGTAAGAAGCCAAGTATGAAATATCCCTGGCTTCTAAATATAATGAGAGAAAGAGAAGGAAAGGGATTAGACGCTACAGTATCAGTAGTGATAAGACCTAGGCGGGGTCGAAATTGCAATCCACCCAAATCGAGATGAGAATATCCTTGGGAATGGAAGGACATGTGAAGCTCAATGGAAATTTAAGGTCTGCCCATAAAATTGTGGGAAAATTTCAGCTACCAGTCCCTTATCACCTTAAACGAAATTGGGTGAACACAGCTTGTAGTGCTGTGGTGACTTCGATACGATGCGAAAGCACTAGAGACGTGGTAAAAGAGAGCACTTGTGTGGTTGACATCTCCTGACATCTATAAAGAAGACACTTGTTCCAGAGTGAGCAGGTTTCGATACCATCCATAGACCTTATGGTAGGAATTGAAGTCACTTAAGGAAGCTTAGGACGAGGTAATGCCTGTTAGTTGAGTTATCCATGATATAACCAGAATAAAGCCTCACGATGCCAGTGAATAACAGTCAGGCTTGCCCCCAAAAAAGTTTTATCATATGGGTTCAACTCAGTTTCGACCTCGCACGGGTCTCA